CTTGAACTGCATCGCTCTATAATTGTTTTTGTTGAAATTTATCTATTTTGGGGATTTTCTGAAGTTTCACAGGTTTTTTATCCAAAAAGTTTGAGTCTTGAGTTAGAAACTTGACACTTTTTGGCTGTGTTGTGATCCAACCTTTGTTGATTGCTAATATTGATTCATTATTTAGATGCTTTCTGGATAAATATGCAGCCCGATCAGAGAAAAAAGTTATTAAAGTTTTCAGTTATTCACATATTATCTAATACAAATAAATGTGGTATTTGTATTATGTGAATAGTTTGAATTCCTGACGTTTGTACTTTATTTTTCAAGCTCAGACCCCAATAGGAAAAAATATTTGATTTGAAAATGAGATTTATGATTTTTCAGATGTCAGGGTTGAATTTATTTCCCTTTGTATTTAAGAGTTACAGCAAACTAGGGAGAATTAGGAAATTGATATGTATTGGTTGTAAATTTTTAGGTAATTCTATGTTTTAGTTGTCTGGTTCCAGGTCTTTTTTTACTGAGAACCTCTGACGATTTAGGTAATTCTTCTGTGTTCTCGATGAACAAGAACCTATGAAGATTTTTTATCTGCGCTCTAATACTATCTTCTGTTTGCAGTTACTTTTTTTTGAAAGATGTCCAACTTTCTACCAATCACTTGCCTCTAAGAAGCGCAAAGACTTTGTTCGAAGCCCCAAATTTGGGTACGTAATTGCGTTCATCCTCATCCTGAAATTTGTGGCTTTCATATTGAGACAACGAATAGGAAGACAATTAAGCTGCAAAATGTGAATTCATTTAACCTAATGACTACTTTATAGTTGTGAACATGAGTTAATTTGACCTAATTTCTACTCTATAATTTTGAAATTATAAAAACATGTATATGAATATTATTTTAGCTGTATGTGCTATTTCTTTATGATGGTTTTGCTACCTGTAATCTGTTCTTCATGCAAATAACTATTGAAAGAGTAAAAAATGTTTTGGTTTGAAGTTGTGAGGACAGTTAGAACTCTCAATATTTTTCATATTTTTAGTCTAGATTTATTTTTTGGAAGAAAAACCATATATTGCTGAAGATATTTTTGTCAGTTCTTTTTTTTACATCTTTGAAGATGTTCAAATGTGGAAGCCGGTTCACAAGGTAGAGTTTTAGTGCTTGGGTTAGCCATGGAGTTGCCGGAAAAAGTGCAGAGACTATGAATCCTTGCTGCAATGGTGTAAAAATCTGTGAGTATTTACTTTGTCTCTTAATATTCTTTTAGAGCAATGGAAGTTGATAAGTTTATTCAAATACATGTTTGTGTATTGTATTGTAATAAATAATTTCGAATTATTTTCTGAATCATTATACTCTGCCCTTTTTCTTAAAGTTTGCCTATAGATTACGATTATTTAAAATTTTAGCTTCAACATTCTGCTCCCTATTGATAATTGAATCAAAACAGTGAACATGCTCAGTCTTGGGTGTTCTCTTACCGCCAACGTCTATTACCCCTCCAGGCCTCCACAATTACTTCGCGTGTACTCAAATTTCAACCCCCATTACCCCCATATACTTCGGCTTATGAATCCTTTCA